ATTTCATTATTCTTGCCTCTTTCTTTTTCTTTTTCTTTTAAAGAGAGGGTCTCATTTTGTAGTTAAGATTGGCCTTCAACTGACTTTGTACCCCAGGCTACTTTCAAATTCATAGCAATCCTCCTGCCTCAGTCTCCCAAGTGCTGGGATTACAGGCATGCACCACCACTCTCAAGTTTTTTCCACTTTCTAAGGTGGTCCTGGGAGTCCTCTTCTGTTAGTATCTTTATGAGGTGTGATTAAAAATATACAGTGATGCTGCTGAAGAGTACCATCCAATGGAAAGGCAGGTCTGTAAAAACACTATGCTGTGTCCTCATTTACCTTATTTACTCCATCTGGCACTGTGCACCTTCTGGCTGTTCCCCAAAGTCAAAATGACCAGGAAAGTTAAATGTTTTGAACTGCTTCAGGACATTGAGGGAGTCATGACAAGTCAGTGAAAGACACTCAAGAAAGAGGACATCCAGAGCCGCTTCGAAATGTGGCAAGGACAGTGGGATAAGTATGTTAGAAGCAAAGAGGAGGATCTTGAGGGGAGTTACTGGCAGGGTATCTTTTACGGTGATAATTTTTATGATTTAAAAATTCAATGTATGTGTCAGTCACACCTCACATAGGTGAGAAGATGGCAAGCTGTGAAATGGGCAGAGTGGGAGCCCAGCCAAGGACCCATCACTGTGTGGATGCTCATGACAGTCAGTGGGCAAGAAGCATGAAGCAGCCCCTCCCAGACAGCAGGAATAGAAGCCATATCTCCACTGTACCCTCAGTGGGATGCAATGTGCTTCCCTCTTTCCTGCCTTGGCCTTGGTCACAGAGTTACTCTGCTGGTAGTGTGAGAAAGAAACATGAGTACTTGCGGGAGACCTCACTTGCTTTCCCTGTCCTTTGGTCTTTTTGCTGCCATCCAGAGGAAAACATGTCACTACAGGCACAGAGCTGCCCACCCACATACCAGCAGTGAGAAAGGAAATCCCAGTGGTCTGCTCCAGAGCACTCAGCCCAATGGGGCCCCTGGCTAAGAGCAATAATAAATGGTTGCAGTTTTAAGCCTCTGTTGTGGGTGATTTGTTACACGGGCCTTACTAACTGATACAGAAGGTCAAGAGAAGCCGACTATAACAACAAACTTGTGAGCACAGGCTCTGAACTCAAACTGACCAGATATAACTCTTCCCTGACACATTTAGCTGGGGAGCCTAGGGCAAGTTACTCAATCTCTCTGATCTCATGATAGATACATGAAAATATCTATCTGTTAGGGCTATTGAGAGGATGAAATTACTATAGATATTATCCCCAGAACCCCATGCACATGCCATGAATGATAACCGCCTTGTAGCAGCAGAATGAGAGATTACACTTGCTCCAGAGAGCTCTGGTCAGCAAAGCCAAAACAAGTCTCCAGAGGCCCTTCGTCCTTTGTTTTAACATTGATTCCACACTAACTTACTTTCTCCTACTAATTTAGTGAGGCAGCAGTGAGCAGCCTGGCTCTGGAGGGCTCAATAATGCCATCCTAGTAGGGCAGGACCAGACAGCCTCAGTCCTTTTGACAATCACATGCTCATCACCAAGACGGGCTCTCTAAGCCATGATCCCAGGAAAGGCTGTGGAGATCACAGAAAGCATGTGGAGCTGGAGGAAAGGTCTCCCAAACCCACTGTGTGACCTTGCCCAAGTCACTGGACCTCTCCATGCCTTGTGGGCATGATGCATAATCTCTGCCCTTATTTCACAAGCTGTGGATGGAAAAAGATGGTGGTAGAGAGGAACCTTCTCTGTGAATCAGACACTGCCAATGATGAGTGCTGTCCACAGAGCAAGCTCTCTACAGTGCATCCTGACTCCTCTGGGATCCTCTCTTCCACCAGCCAGAAAGAACTTTGAGCATGGACTACAGCCCACCCTAAACACGGCAGCATGACTCCTGCCCATGGAGGCTGCAGCTCAGCTCAGCACAGGGTTCCAGGTGGCAAGGCACATCCTTCTGTCCCTAGAGAGGCCTGAAGTCTCTGGACCCATCCCTAGTGTCTTCAGCTGTGTTTGCAGCCCCCTGGACCAACTGTGTTAGGTTGAGCCTGGGCGCCAGCCTTCCCATCCTAGATGACCTTTCAAAAGCTGCTAAGGAGAGGTTCTGGAGCAACTCTAGGATATCACAGAGGTCGCTGGCATAGCTGAGGGCTGCTGTGGCTGCAGGGATGGCCGAGGACCCACATCCTGCTGTGCCATCACTTGAGGGAACAACACTATAATTACAGTTGAGCTCTCCAGCCCCGGTCTGAGTCCCCACCAACATGACACCTGGAAGGAGGAATCAAGGAGACTCTAGACCCAAATATGTCCAACACAGCATTGTCTACTATTAGCGAGGAAAAAGAAAAACATTGAACTGTTATCATAGCTGCTGGTATGTTCATTCAGTAGATAAAGCATTAAAACAGTAGGAAGTTGGGAAAATGTTCTTTGGGAAAATTGCCTTGCAGGGATGAGCAGTAGGCCATGCTCTCCTTCGAGGTTAGTTCCTTTCCAACTTCTGACCTTCCACAGCACTCTGCCCTGGGACCCTCAGCAGTGTCACCTGCCCCTCCAGGATCAGGCCATCCCACCTGGGGTAGTTGGCCCCTACTTTCTGTGGCCCTGAAGAGGCCAGGCATTGTTTGTCTGTGTTCCTGTACAGCCAGTCCTCTGGCAATGCAGGAGCATGGGACTGCTCCCTGCATTCTGGCTCAGAAGAACAGAGCCTCCCAGGCCAACAGTGCATCCATCCTAACTCCTGGCCTCCCTGTCCAGATCTGCCCAACATCTGCTGGCTAAGATCCCTGTCCTCTCCTGGGTGTAGACCTCCAAGTTTCAGGATCTAAGTGGACATTTCCTACCTTCTCCTCATGAGACCGCCACAGAGACTGACAACATCCTGAGAAGAGTCCTACACACACACAAGCCCCTCCTTTCCACATGGTGGTTCACAAGACTAGAGCTCAATAAAAAACCTCAACCTCCACATGAATACACACACACACACACACACACACACACACACACACACACCTCATGACATGAGATAATGAGAGCCCTGTCACTAGAAGCATTTAAGAAGAAGCTGGATCCTGGAGTACTCTTAATCTGCCATTTGATCTAAATACAGGATACATGGGCATGACTTTTTTTACAAGAATGCATTGAGCAATATACTAGTGAAATGTATGCTTTTCCATGTGAATGTTAAGCTTCCATAAAAGTTTCTAAAAATCCAAAGTGTCTAGGGTTGGTGGCCATTTGACAAAAAGGTAATGGGACAGGAACAGCTTGGCGATCCTCACATGGAGGCCACCAAGACACCAAGACTTACTGAATCTCTGGACACTGCACACTCACCACCAAATGCTTCAAATGGGCACAGAATGCCCAGCCAGTGCCTAGGGAGGGAGGCACAAATCTGTCCAGTTGAATAAGAAAGCAAGAAAGGAGAAATGAATTAAAGGGTGAAGGGATGAACAAAGGAGCACACAGGAATGTGTGAATGAACGCACGGGAAGGTAGCGCAGGCATGGAAGAGCTGGTGCACTGACGACCAAGAGACACAGTGGCAGGTGGGGGAATGAGTGACAAGTGCTTGGTAACCTGGTGATGTAGTAGTGGGCAAGGGAATGAATAACAGTTTCGGGGATAACTGTGATGTAACAGCAGATGGTGGAGTAAAGGACAAGTGCATGGAAGACCAAGAGGTACAAAGTCAGGAGCAGGGAATGAATAAAACAGCAGCAGATAAGGGAATGAATGGTTGGCTTGGGGAAGAATGAGTGCTACAGTGGCAGATGTCATTGAAATGACAGATGGGCAGAGAACTGTCTCCAAAGGGGGGTGAGTGACAGGTGCATGGAGGGAGCAGTGACACGGGGATAAAATGGGGGCACGGCTGGTGCATGAAAAACTAACTGATACAAAGGCAGATGGAGGATAGATGTCAAGTGCATCGAGCATCGAATGGCATAAGACCAGACTGAGGAGTGAATATCAGTTGCACAGAAAACTTGGGTGATAAAATGGCCCAGGAAGGAATGAAGGGAAGTTTGTGGAGAACTGAACAATACCAGGCAGAAGGGAGAATGAATGACAGGTTCGTGGAGGAAGGAGCAGTAAAATAGTAGAAGGGGGATGAGTGACAGGTGCGTAGAGGATGGGACGATTCACCGACACGGTAGTACGGAGTGACGTGGAGGGACACAAGGCAAGTGCGTGGAGGACTGTGTGACACACAGACGGACGGAGAGCCAATAACAGGCTCGTGGTGGAACAACCGACACTGTGCAGATGGGGAGCGAACGACGTGAGTGAAGAACCGCGATGCGGATAGGTGGGAGGAAGAGTGGCACAGAGAACGGCGTGAGAGGATGGCGAATCGGAGAACGAACGCGTGAGCGACACAGCGCTGACCGGAGAGATGAGGGAAGGCTCAGCGATACAGCGATGGTCAGGTGCACAGAAAACTGAGCAAAGCAATGGCAGACGAGAGGGTGAACGGCAGGTGCGTGAAGCAAACCGAGGCACAAGGGCAATAGCAGAATGACGAGAGTCACCTGGGGAACTGAGTGTGCTCTGTGAGACAGAGAAAAGAATACCAGGTGAGTTAACGACCCAAAGATTCGATGCCGGGGGGGGGGACCAGGGCATGAAGAACCTAGTAACAAATGATTCGAGGAAGAATGAATAGCAGGTTCATGGAGAAACTATGATACGAGGGCAGATGGAGGAATGAAGGACAAGTGCACAGAGAGGAGAGTGATACCACGGCACTGGGGGAAACGATGACAGGTGTGTGGTGACCACGAGACACAGCGGCTGATAGAGGAGTGAGTGATAGGGAAGCAGAGCACTGACGGACGGAATGGTAGACAGAAGAATGGAAGGCTGTGAAAAATAGAGTGACGCCGTGGCATCTCAGGGAGACACACATGAGTGAAAAAGGGCGGAGCACTGTGGGAGACGGTGGGGGAGGAGGAGACATGAATAAGACAGCCGTGACGAAGGAAACCAGCAATAATAGAGGAACAAACGATAGGGGCCCAGTGGTCTAAGTGGTACCATGGTAGTGGCAGAGGATGTGGAGCAGGGTCATGGAGGAACAAGTTGTACAGTTGGGGATGGCAGAATGAACAACGGCCTCATGGAGCACTGAATAATACGATAGCAGATGGAGGAGTCATTGACCATAATAGAGAAATGAGTGATATGATGGCAGATGGTGAGTAAGAACTGGATGACTCAATGAATGAATGAATGAATGAATGAATGATGGCAGGTTTATGGAGGAACAGTGATAAATGACTCAATATGAATGAATGAATGAATGAATGATGGCAGGTTTATGGAGGAACAGTGATACAGTGTAACATAAAGAAGTGAAGGAGGATCGCACAGAGGATGGAATGATACAGTGTCACACGGGAGATGAATGTCAGACACGTGTAGAACTGCGCGATACTGTGGCGTACAGGGAGAAAGTGGCAGCTGAGTAAAAAGCTGAGTGATACAATGGTAGATAGGGGTCAGAATGGCAGGCACATGGAAGGCCGCATGGTACAATGGCAGATGGGGAGACGAATAACCATTGTGGGATGAACAAGAGACACAGCAGTGGGTAGGGACACGAACGACAAGTGCACAGTGGTCTGAATGACAGAGTGATTGATGGGAAAATGAAGAATGGGTGCCCATACCACTGGGTGACATAGCAGAAAGGGAGGATGAATGGATATGCACGGAAACCTGAGCGGAGGTGATGGTAGGCAGGGGAAAGAATGACAGGTGTGTGGAGAGCTGAGTCGTACAATGGCAAAGGGTGGTGTTAATGATGAGTTCCCGGAAGACCAAGTGATGCAAAGGCATGTACGGAAATGAATGACAGATATGTTAAAGACCAAAAGATACAGTGGTAGACGGGAATGAATGATAGGTGCACGAAGACCCAAGTGACACAATGGCGGATGAAGAACGGAAAGACAGGTGTACGGAGGACCCAGGGATACAGTGGTGAGAGGAAGAATGAGTGACACGTGGATGAAAGATCAAATATACACTGTCACGTTAGGGTTGGGTGACAGGTGCATGGAAGACTAGCATTGGAGATGAATGAATGAAATGCATGGGTGAAACTGAGTGATACAATGGCAGATGGAGAAGGAATGTCAGATGGGTGGATAATTGAGAGATACAGCGGCAGACGGAGGAAGGAACGACAGGTGTACAGAGGACCAAAGGATGCAACAGTGCACATGGAAATGAATGAGAGATAAATGAAATATGTGATACTATAGTGGATGGAAAGATGAACGGAATAGGTGGGAAGGATCCAAGGATACAATAGTGTGACATGAATGGATGATGGGGTGCTGAGAACTGAGTGATACAACGTCAGATGGAGAAATGAACAGCAGGTGCACAGAAGACCAGGCAAGCAAAAGTGAATGGGAAATTAATGACAGGTGCAGAGAGAACCTTGTATACAAGGAAGGATGAGGGGAAGGAACGGCAGGTGCATGGATACCCTCGTAATACCATGGTGGATGGGCAAATAAATGACAGGCTTATGGAGGACTAAGGGAAGGAATGCCAGATGGAATGAATGAAAGACAAATGAAAGGCTGAGTGCCACAAAAGAGGAATGAATGACTGGTGCACGGAGGACTATGCGACGGCAGATGGAGGAATGAACCATTGAGTCAAGGAGGGATGAGTGATGGAATGGCAAATGGGGGAGCTAAGAGCAAGTATGTGAAGGACCAAGTGATACAAAGAAGGTGGGGGAATGAATGACAGGCTCACAGAAGGAGTGAAATAATAACACACGGGTACGAATGGCTCGGGGAGGAGCGAGTGATACAGTGGCAGGTGCCAAGTGAACAACAGGCTATAGAGAGCTGAGAAATACAAAGATCCAGGGGGGATGAAGGACAGGTGCATGGAGATTGAATGACACAAGGGTTAAATGGGGGAACTAGTGACCGGTGCGTGGAGTTGAGAGACAAATGGTGGATGGAAGAGCGAATAGCATCCGCATGGAGAAGTGAATAATACAATGGCAGATGGGGGAATGAATGATATAAGGCCAGATGCGGACGTGAATGTCAGGTGCACAGAAGACTGAATGATGCTTAATGGAAGAATGAAGGGCAAGGCCAAGGAGAGCTGAATGGTTTGAGGCAGATGGAGGAATGAGTGACAAATACACGGGGGAATGAATGATGCAAGGCAGACAGCGGAATGAATGGCGTGTGCAGAGAACTGAACAACACAAGGGTGGATAGGAGAAGGAATGGCGGAACGCCGAGAACTGAGTGATACAATTGTGGGCAAGGGGATGAATAACAAATGCACAGAGACCAGGTTCATACAATGGTAATGTGGGAATAAAGGACAGGTGTATGCTAAACTTAGTGATGCACTTTCTGAGAGAGAAAAAAGTAACAGGTGGGTAGATGACCCATAGATTCAATGGTGGATGGGGAGGGGTGATGGGGAACCAAGTGATGCGATGGTGGATAGGAGAACTCATGAAAAATTCATAGAGAAAAAATGATACTGTGTAAGATGGGACACTGAATGGCAAGTGAGTGAACAAGGAATTGATACAGTGGTCGGTGAGGGAATGAATGACAGGTGCATGGAGGATTGAGCGACACCATGACCAATGGGGAAAGAATAGCAGGTGTGTATGTGACCAAAAGACACAACGGTGGGTAGAGGAGTAAATTATAGGTGGAAAGAGAACTGAGCGATGCGATTTTGGATAGAGGGAATAAAACTGAGTGATACCAGTGGCATTTGCTGGGGAAATAAATGAGAGGTGGGTAGAAGACTGTGTGTGATACAACGGGGAGGGTGGGGAAATGAATGGCAGGTGTGAGGGTTAGGGAAACATAATGTGATATGGAGGAACAGATGATGCTTGCCCAGTGATTTGGGTGATACAGTGGCATACAGGGGAATGACTGGCAGGTACACAAAAAACTAAACAATGCCTTGTGGAAAGGGGATGAGCGACAGGTAAGGGAAGAACTGAATGGTGCAAGGCCAGATAGAGGAAGAGAGACAGGAGGGAGGAGGCATGACCTGATTCAACGGCAGATGGGGACTGAACGACGAATAATGGACAACTGAGTAATTCAATGATAAATGGTAGAATAAATGCCTACTGGGTAAAAACTGAATGATATGATGTTGAAAGAGGGAACGAATGGCAGGTTCCTGGAGAGTAGGGATACAATGTAAGACAAAGAAGTGAAGGAAGATTTCCTACAGGATGGAATGCGACAGTGTCACAGGAGGAACGAATGATAAACGCACGGAGAACTGTGTGGTAACGATGGTGCACAGGGAGAAGATGACAGAAAGAGAGCCTAGTGATACGAAGGCGATGGGACTGAATGGCGAGTGCATGCAAGGCCACAGGACACAGTGGCAGGTGAGGAAATGAGTATCTGTGAGCGGCCAAGTGATGTGATGGTGGGTAGGGACGTGAATGACAAGTCCACGGAGGACTGAGTGATACAATAACAGATGGGGCAACACAGGACAGGTGCCCACAACACTGAGAGATATACAGTGGCAAGGGATAAGCAATAGGCAGTGCGTGAGATGGTAACATGATGGGAAGTAGAGGAAAGGATAATAGGTGTGTGGAGAATTGAGTTATACAGTGGTGGAGGGTGGTGTTAATGATGGGTTCATGGAAGACCGAGTGATATAAATGCGTACATGGAAATAAATGGCAGGTATGTAGATGATCGAAAGACAGCGAATGAATGATAGGCTCATGGACACCTGAGTATGGGATGACAGAGGCAAGGAGGACCGGGGGACAGAGTGGTGAATGAGGGAATGAGTGGTGTGTGGATGGAGGACCGGGCATACAGTGTTGGGTGGAGATTGAGAGACATGGAGGTGCACGGAGGACCAGATGCTACAATGGCAGGAGGGCAAATGAATGAAACATGTGGAAGAGCTAAGCAATGGAATGGCAGGTGGGAATGAAGGACAGGTAGGTGGAGAACTAAGGGACAATGGCAGATGGGTGAGTGAGCAACAGGTTGTGCGGGACCAAGCAATTGGAGGAATGAATGACAGGTATGTGGAGGGCGAAACAACACCATGGGAGATGTAGGAACAGATGATATGTGAAGGACTCAGCACTACAGTGGTGAAGGCTGAAATGAATAACAGCGTGCAAAGAGCTCACTGATTCAATGCCAGAGAAGGGGTGAGTGACAGGTGTGTGCAGGACTGATGGGGGATGAATGACAGTTTCATGAAGGACAGAATGATACAGTTTCAGATAGTGGAGGGACGGATACATTCATGGAGGAATGAGTGATGCTTCAGTGCAGTGGGGCAATCCGTTCATGAAGGAATGTTGGTTTAGTATCCAATGCACAACAGGTGGAGGGAGGACTAGCAATGCCATACCCAATAGGGGGATAAATGCCAGCTTTGTACAGAAATTAGCAATGCGATGTCAGGTGGAGCAGTGAAAGGTGCAATGCTGAGGGTGGATTGAAGGTGCTTGTAAGACTGAGCGATACCATGTTGGATGAAAGATGAACACCCAAGTGCATGGGGAAATAACTGCAGAGGACAGGGGACTGAGTGATACAATGGCAGGGAGCGATGAATGACAGGTGCAAGTACTGAATGAGATACGTATGGTAGGGCAGTGGATGCCAAACTCACAAAGGATTGAATGAGATAATGGCAATGGTTGAATGACTGCCCAGGTGTGTGGTAAAGGAAGGAGGGAGGGAGAGCATGGGACTGGAGGAGGGAGGGATGCGGGAGCAGGTGCATGAGTGCCAGTTGTCCATCGTGGTCTTGTTCACCTCCTGCTCCACCCTCAGTGGCCTTCCTTCCTCAGGTGAGCCAGGAAAGAGCAGAAGGCTGCACGAGCCTGGAACTTCTTGGTCTCACCTGCTTCTCACTCCTGCTTCAGAGCACTAGGCTGTGTCTCCATATACCTAGGGAGAGGTGTCTCTTTTATGTCACCAGAATCACAAGGAACCCACTTCTCTGCCTCCCGCATGACATGTACAAGCTAGCTGTTTCCTAGAGGGTCTGGTGCCCAGTAAGGCTGTGCTAAGGGGCCAGGGGAAGAGGAGTGTCCTCTGCTTGGCTGTGGACCTAGAGCCCCCACCCTTCCTGGACCTGCCTGTGGTGCATTAGGTGTTGGGTCTTTCCCCAGGGTCCGCTGAGTGGGCTTCCTAAGCAGTGGTGGGAAGGGGTCCGCCCCACCCCAGTGACCATGCCATAGGTGAACCAGCAGTAAGGAGAGCCTCCGGAGGTTCCCTGCATTCTGAAGTTCTGTGCCACTCCCTGGGTGAATGCCACCTTGCCTGCCTCACTTTCCTCATCTGGAAGGCATCAAGGTAATCCCACCAGTCTAGTGGATGACAAGCCCATGTGTGACTGCTCCTGCTTGGCATGAGTCTGTCCACTCCTAGTCTGCAGGCATGTGTGAGGAGAAAAGACAGCACAGGTGTGGGACATAATAAAGGGGATAAATGCCTTTGGAAGTGAGGGAGGTAAGGAGGGTCGGGGCAGCTCAGGAGATGGTGGAAGGTAAAGGGAGGCTGGGGAGACTTCTTGAAGAACAAGGACCTATAAAAGGGATCCAAGGCTAATCCAATGGTTTTCTGTGTGTGTGTGTGTGTGTGTGTGCGTGTGCGCGTGTGTGTGTGTTGTGTGTTTGTGTGTATGCACTGAGCTTGGTGACACAGTACAGGTGCAGGTGGTCACTAGGCTTTGCTGTCCCTGCATTCATGCTGGACTGCCACCAACTGGTTTTCCAGCTGCTCCTGTCGAAGCCAGGTCTTATCTTGTCATCAAAACTTTCCCCAGAGCATCCAAAGCAGTGCAGGTGAGATGGGGCAGGTGCTTCTCAGACTGTGAGCCCTGGATCAGAAACAACGCTCAAGAGAGCCAGACAAAAATGGAAAACGCTGTCCATTTCATGTGCATGCTGCTTACAGCTCTGCTCAGGACCAGAAAAGGCAAGGATCCCCACACACTGTTGGTCCAGCAGATGCAGGTGCCCTTGTGCACTTTCTTAGTGTGTGTCCCACTCCTGGCCACAGACCTCATCCTAAGCCAGTCACTTCAGTTCCTGAATCAATCACTGATTTTCAGAAGGACTCTGGAGATCTGCAGGAAGCCTTCCCGATGTACCGCCCCTGCCCCGGCCAACTGTGGCCATAAAGGAAAAACCCACATCCCCCACCCTGCTTCCCCCACAGCAAACCAGTCTTTGAATTGTCCTCCACAGCTCTGCAGATGAGATCTGGTTTCTTCTTTTTTAATGATCCTGAAGGTGGTAACAACTCACATCACAGATGTTAGATTGAAAAAAGAAGTGTCATGGAGATTCCAGCTCTGTTATATCATGGGAGAGGCCAATTGTGGCTCACAATTTTGGCTTAAGGTGCCTACTGTGGGGAAGTGACAAGTTTGCATCAGAAATCCCTTACCCAAGCTCCAAGATATCAGCCCCCATCCTGAGCGAATCCAGATAAAGCACCCACAGCCTTTGCAGACCCTGTCCAGTGCTCCCGACTGCTACCGCTTTCATCAACAGGTTTGGAAAGGGAGCACACAAACTGCCCTGTCCATCAGACAAGCAGCGGGGCAGGGGTACAACTAAGAGGCTGGGGCTTTAGGAGTCCAGAACTAAGCAATTAAATCCCTTCTTAAGAGTTACAGGTGGTCCAACATGGAAGGAAGCTATGGGGGTGGCATGGAAACCAGAACTGGATAAATGATGTAACTGCCTTTGCCCTTTGCAGAGCTGGCTTCACCACTGTTTATTACGACGGTGGCTGTGCCCAGGGCTCCTTGGAGAACTCACACAAGATTTAATGTAAGACTCGCCAAAGCCCTTCGTGAAGGCGCAGCTACAGAGTCAACATGAAGTGGTAATTATACATGTTTTTAAAATCCATTTCACAGAGTGAGCTAATAACTGCATCCGAGAAGATGTGTTCACTAGCAGACACCCAGTGCCAGGGGCTCCCCGTCACAGCCTGAGACTTGGGCACAAAGTTGACGCACACTCCAGAAATCACCCAAGGTTAGATTAAAAATAAGAACACCCATGAAGATCACCTGACTCATTATCATCACTGTCCAGTGGGAGACAATTCCTCAAAGGGTGAGCCTCGGGGCTGGGTTTTGTTCTAGACCTAAGAGCATCTTAATTTGTATTTATATTTAAAAAAAGAAGAAAACAGAATTAACTGGAAAGGAACTTTGTTTCCTATAAATGTGAGTTCTTCTGCTAAATAGCTTCTCAGTCTAGAAGGCATGAGGTTGAAGAGCCTCATGGCCAAGAGCAGGGACTGCATACCTACTTAAGTGCCACACTGCCTGGCAGCCGTGGGCATGCAGATCCCACTCGGCCCTTCAGAGTCAGCCTGTTGAGTGGGTATGACATAGCTGCCCTTCTGCACATGGGGCAGCTGAGGTTGGGAGTAGGGAAAAGGTATTGCTTTGCTCTTACAGTGTGACAGGATTCAGGTTCCAAGCCAGATCTGTGACTCCAAGTACAGTGTTTTTTTTCATGGATGGGAAGCTGTGTCAGAGGGTGGGTGCATCTGTGTGAGTGTGTGTGTGTGTGTGTGTGTGTGTGTGTGTGTTTAAACCTTTCTGTTCAGAAAAATCAATTGAAAACTATATAAAGGAAGAGAAGAATCAGTATATCCATCAATATTCCCTGGTTCTGTGTTGATGGGGGGCTGCCACTACACCCCATCTTAACCCCACTTCCTTCGATATGTTTTCTTGGGAGCTTGAGCCCTTAGAGCTGCCGATCAGGATCAGGATCAATAATAGAAACACACCTCAATAACCACTTCATCTGTCTCCATGATTTATTTTTAAGGAAAAAATGGAACATTTCTGGGTTTGCTTTTAACTCCAGCCCTCTCCTCGATGTGACAGCTCACCTCTTGGGACCAGCCAAATGTTTTATGTGCAGGTTTTACTACCAGGAGCCAGCATGTTAGCCAATTTCACCTGTTTCTGGTCTAGATCACAAAAGCCACCTCTAGAGGAGCAGGCTTTTCCTCCTTTCCTGCGGGTCGGCTTCCCAGGCACATTTCTGGCTTGCCAGCTGTCCAGCAAATAGGCTCCTGCACCCTAGAATCAATGACTTGCATATTTTCATGCCACATCCACAGCTAAAAGACAGAAATGATGGCAGTGATCACCTGGCCCTCTCTGATGCTGGAAATACAGCAGGAAGAGAAGGGCTCTTCCGTGTTTGGGTGCTGGGCAGAGGGCGTGGGGCCAGTAGGGCCACAGCTGGTTATATGGATGACAGAAGGACATTTTTCTTCCTTGAACATGAAAACATGCACCAATGAATTAAACATTTAAAACAAGATGACTGTCTAAAAAGTCTTTTCAACCAAGGAGAGACAGGCCGTCCTGTGCTGGTGCTTCCTGTTGCATATGGCACTGAGAACTCTGTTTTTTTTCAGCATGCAGAGCTTTCCAGACAAAGAAAATATCAAGGAAAAATTAGAGGAGGAGGTCCAGGGAAGTCAGGCAAGGGGCCTGAGAGAAAGCAAGGAAGGAGGCTTATGCTTAGGGAGGGGGCAGAAAGGACTGCAGGGGTACAGGAAAGCAATCACCCCTGAGCCATCCTGTTGGCCCTAACAGGTCCAAAGAGAAAGTCCTAGGGAAGCAGCAGGCCACGTTGGGACAAGTGCAAACCAGAGAGCCCACCCAGCCTTCTGCCAGCAGGACAGGGCAGGTAGGACATCCTCTAGGTCCGAGGGACCTGCACAAATTCCCACAGGTCTCAAAGCTTGATGTCTGTGAGGTCTCCCAACCCTATGACCCACTGGGGTACAGCCCTTGGGCCCCACAGAGACCCTGCTCTGTGTACAGTACACTGGGTGTGGGATCTGCAGGTGAGTGACTCCGTGGTGTACCAACTTGGACCCTCTCCCCAGAGAGGGCTGAGCTTTCCAGTGTCTACGCAATGTGCATGGTTCCCTTCCCTTAAGTCTCGGTATGGAGCAGCCACCCACATCTATCCCAGAGAAACTCACCTGTGGCCATCCCACCCCCAGGACCTGGGGAGAAAATTCTTCTCCTAGGGCCCTAACACATGCAAGCTCTAGAACTCAAAGAAAAGGAGCCACGGGGAAGAGAGCTGAAATCTGGGCTCAGAAGAGGCTGAAGAGAGTGCAGAGGCGGGCAAGGGTCAGTGCCTCTCCCACCCCACACCCCAGGAGTGGCCTCCTGCCACCTGAGTCCATCTGGACACCTCAGGTGTCAGGCCAGCCCTCTCCAACTCCCCAAGAGGTAGTAAGTGTAAGGCTTGGACCCCACACGCGCAGCACAGCCCGTGCTGGGGCGGTGGGTGAGTGGGTGCCTTCTGTGGAATTATTCTTAGCGCTGCACTGCCTTCCAAAACTGGCGCCTCAGCCCTCAGGGCTCCAGGCTCACATGCCGGCCCAGATACTGGCGCGGTGGACAGCCCCGTATGGGATTCCCAGCCGTGAGGCACAGAGGCGCCAGAGAGGTGCGCACTCCCACGAGTGAGGGCACAGGGGAGGCTCCGTTCACCCCAGGGGGGCGTCCTGCACCCGGCCCTGCGCTGCATGCGCTCAGATGCCTGCGGGCACCGCTCGGGAGCCGGTCGGCGGCGCACCCAACCCTTACCTATGGTGGTGATGACCGTGATCGCAAAGTAGAAGGAGCCGGCGAATTTCCACTGGACGCCGGCGCGGTGCGGTTCCGACTGCAGGATCACCAGCTCCAGCTGCCGGTAGTCCTCTGTGCTGATATTATACTTGCCCCTGATGCGGATCTCCTCCGCCTTGAGTTTCTCCTCTTCGCGCATCTCGTGGTCGGACTCGAGGGCGTCGAACACCGCGGCGCCCACCAGCAGGTAGGTAAAGGTACAGGCGATGAGGGACAGAGTCCTCACGTTCTGTTTCTTCATGGCCGCCAGCAAGGCGCTGGCGCGGGGAGCATGTCCCGCAGGCTGGCAGCCGCGCGCATCCCA